AAAAAAATGCAGTTAAAATTTTGTAGGAAGATGTCAGCCCTGGTGCCAAGTCACACTAGCAGCGTTGAGCTACATCAACGCCTGAATCTGGACGCTTTTGTGGAGATGTGCAGAAATGGTGTTGAGTTTCCTGAACTGCACGTATCCACAAACACGTCCAGATTCAGGCGTTGAGGTAGCTCAACGCTGCTAGTGGGACTTGGCCCCTGTGGGCTGTAAGAGAAACCGGCTGAAGCTGCCGGGATAACTCCGGGGCCGAGGTCCCACTAGGAAAGAGGATAGGATCACGATCCTGAATCTGGATGTGTTTTATGCAGCGATGCAGAAAAGCATTTCAATCTCGATTTCCTGCACATCTCCATAATCTCGTCCAGATTCAGGCATTCGACGAAAAAAGAGGATCGAGTGGGGGGCGTTGTATTCGAAGTAAAGGGATTTTTTTGTGAATTTCCACGACTGAAAAACAACTGGATAAATTGTCATGACCACTCCAAGGAAACCGGCCGCTCGATTTTCAGGATTGGGCGCATCCCCTGCGTCGCCCCAGGGGCCAAGTCCCACTAGCAGCGTTGAGCTACCTCAACGCCTGAATCTGGACGTGTTTGTGGATACGTGCAGTTCACGAAACTCAACACCATTTCTGCACATCTCCGCAAAAGCGTCCAGATTCAGGCGTTGAGGTAGTTCAACGCTGCTAGCGGGACTTGGCCCCAGGTCGCTCTTGGTCGGAATCTCAAAGTTGAGCTCGCTCAAAGATGCAAGTGGGACATGGCCCCCGGGGCCTCGACCCACTAGCCGAGCGTAAATCGGTGTGTGGCACTTCAAAAGCATTAAAAAAATCGCAAAAAATGTTTTCTTCGATTTTTTTTTTCCGTCTTCGGACATAAAAAAGTTTAAAAAGAAAGTAACCGCCAGTTGTGTCTGACATCCATCATTATGACAGCGGATGCAAAACGAGGGAACGCATGTGGCCCCGCTAGCCGCCGGCACGCATGAATCGGGGAGGACATTGTGGGCATGTGCGCCTGACGGCCTCGGTGTGTAAATGCACCGGCGCCAGCCGAGTGGAAACGTCCCAGTCCGATTTCGTCCTCCCTTTCCATTTCCAGTAAGTGCAGCGTCCACAGCTTAGGCGGCGCTGGCGACTGGCGAAACACCTTAGCGGTTGATGAGCCGACGGGGTACACTTCTTTCGGGGTCGTGGGTGGAATGCCCGGCCGTGTGGTTTTTGGTGAGCGGGTTAGTCATTGAGGGTTGGCATTGAGGGTTGGCTGGGGGTGCACAAGGGGGGGGGGGGGGGTGGTGCTGTGGAATACCGAGGATTGCCTGTGGAATATCGAGGGTCTGGCGGAAGGTCGAGGGTCTGGTGGTGGTGCACAACGTGATTCGCCTCAGTATCAGCAATGCCCCGACTGAGGAGGAGACAGCGAGAAGAGGTCGCTGTTGCAGTCAAGGTCATTGCCGGGAGGATGGCCGAGGATGCGTTCCAGTCCCTGGATTCCCTGCTGGGGGCCCGGAGCTTGACACCCCTGTTGGGCCCTCACTTGGAAAGCATGGGCTCGGCCGGTGGAGAAGACGACGATGACCAAACATGGGGACGGCGTGGTCTGGTATGGTTGTTGCCAGCCATCATTCACATCTGCAACCTGTCTCCGCGGGCTTCGCCTAGGTGGTGGGTGATGAGGCAGACGGCTGGGTTGTGGAGGGATCTCGTTCCCACGGACGACGCCAAGAACGACCATTACATAGGACTCCTGCGCATGTGACGTTCGGCATTCAACAGACTGCTTCGTAAGGTCGGTCCGCTTTTGGAAAAGCAGGTCACTAAGTTCCGGTTGCCGTTGCCGCCTGCTAAGAAGCTTGCTTATGCTCTCCATAGATGGGCCCATGGGGACTCGCACTGGCACAGTTCATCCACGTATGGGATGGGGAAAACCAGTGGCATACGTGCAGTGAAAGAGGTGGCGGATGCCATTCACGCCACGTATCCACATGCAGTTGGTTTCGGTGGACTAGAGGATCGTCACCGTCGAATGCAGCAGTTTGAGGCATTGGGTTTTCCTAATTGCTGGGGGTGCATTGACTGCACACATGTGTACGTCGACAAGCCACGAACGAAGGACGGCGACGACTATTGCTCCGGTCGTAACAACCGGTTCTCAGTTGTTGCGCAACTCGTGGTCGATTCCGAGCTGCATGTCCTCGATTTTTGCTACGGCTTTCCGGGGACTGTCGGCGATGCACGTGTTCTGAAGAACACGTCGCTGTACAGGCGAGCCCTGAAAGGGTCGTTGTTCGTCGACGACCCTGAAGACCCCTTCCGTGCTCAGAGGCCTTCCATCAGCGGTGTTCCTGGAGGGTACTTGCTTGGTGATGGCGGGTACCCCAATCTTCCTTGGCTTGTGATCCCATACGGCCGACAGCCCCGGCTGACGAGGGCCATGCAACGCTTCGATGCTCTTCACAAGATTGTCAGGTCTTGTGTTGAGCGATTCTTTGGGGTATTCAAAATGCGTTTCCAGTACTTCTATCGGCCGCATATATGTGACATTGCAACAGAGAGGTTGGAGTTCCGTGCGTGTTGCATAAATCATAACCTCCTTCAGGATTGGGGTGATTTGCCGGAGGCGGACCGCGAAGACAGCGATTCATCGTGTCTTGAAGGTCCACCACCCGATGTTGACAGGCGTGTGGATGGTGCCCCTCTAGAACACATGTTTGGAAGGGAGCGTGGGCAGGCCGTGAGGGACGCACTTTGTACGGAGGTCTTGCGTTTGTGGGAACTGTGCCGTTCGCAGGCCTTGTAAGTCCGGCCCCACTTGTGAAGGGGCTAACGTTGCGTTTACATTATTGCGGCCTCTTAAATTCGAGCCACTAAGAATAGAAATTCCGTAGCCAACGGGCAAGTCTCCAAAGGGAGGTCGGGTAGGCGAAGGGAGTTGCAAACGTTAGACCGTGTTGTGTGTGACACTTGCACATTGTCTCGTGCATCCATGGCGGACGCCGGGCAACAAAGGTGCTACGCCTACGAAAGATGCGCAATCTTAGATAGTTTGGAGAAGACTGAGAAGGAGGTCGAGCGCTTACACCGTTTCTTGGTTGATAGGGGTGACAGCATCACGGTGACATTGCGGAATGGGAGGTCGGTAAGTGAAAACGACATCTCTCTGGAGAACATACATGCCCGTAGATGGGCGGCTTCAGTGTTGAAGTGGGTGCAAGACTTGCGGAACGCGTTGCGGCAATGTTGTGACGACCTTGTTGTTCAGAACATGCAGATACGGCGGCAGGTAGATCAATAGAGACAGCGAGCGGAAGATATGCGGGGGAGATTCAAGCATGCAACCCGTGCATTGCATGAGGCAACACAGGAAAGAGACGACGCCATGCGAAGGTTGGAGTCCGCTGAGGATGATTTGCGGGTGGCTCGTGGGCAGGCAGAGACGACATGGAGGTTTTACAACGAAGTGGTTCATGGGAGCGGTTCGGGAACGACGGCCCCGGACAGCGAGCTGCAAACAGAGTTCGCTAACATCAGTCTGTCGTGTGGGGGGAAAGGGCGGGAGGCTTCAACATCGGACACGTCATCCTGTGCCTCCTGCGACGAGATTCGCGCTGCCATGGCGGAAAAGGATAGAGAGATCGCCATTCTCGAATTCAAGAACGAGATCCTCCAATATCCGGCTTCGTTTTGGGAAGAATGTGATAGAGAGATTGCATACTATTGCGAAATGACGGGGTTGCAACCGGCCCCGTATAAAACCAATTGAGAGAGAGAGAGAGAGAGAGAGAGAGAGAGAGAGAGAGAGAGAGAGAGAGAGAGAGAGAGAGAGAGAGAG